AATAACATGAGTTAACAAGTGTATATTTAAAAAAACACCCCAATAGTATTATTAAAGAAAAATATATACAGATATTTATGTTTAGAAACACACACATAATTTTGTACAATATGACTGAATAATTGTTGCACAGAGAAGTAGGGTAGTGGTTGAAATGGTGTCAGGTTTTCTTTGAATGTTCTACTGTGGTGTGATGACCAAATTAAAGGGGTCATACAAATATTATTTAAGAGGAAATTAAATTTAATTGTTAAAAAGACTTATGTGCACTTATATTTAAGGTTCGATCCTGGGATATTACTTTTTACTGAACTTTTTATTAGCGCGAATGTGTTTTGATTAGGGATGCACGATAATATCGCCATGTCATCGGTATCGGCCAGTATAATATCAGAACCATCACAGGAAGAGTATTTATGCATAATTTGATGTTAGTTACAGTACAGAGGAGACTTGATGATCAATAAAATTAAGTGGGGGAAAAGTGTCTATATCGGTATGGGTTATCGACCAAATTAGTTGTTACATATCGGATATCTGCAAAAAAATCCAATATTGTGCGTCCTTAATTTTGATTTGATTTGATTTGACTTTATAGCCAGAATAGAAATCCTAAATGTTTGTCTTGCATCCCAGGACAACAACTGTTTCACATAAATTCACATACATACAAAAACACAAAACAACATTTAACCATACAACAGAGGCTACAAATCACAACAGACATTATGAAAAGTGGATGCAGTGCAACATATTACTCATTACTTTTTACATTCAGCGTTTGACCCGGGCTACTTAGAAGCCACACTTTGATTTAATGTACTATGTAGAGATTAATCGTTTACTGGTGACATTGAATGATTCTTTCACATATACTAGAACTTTTGAATTCTGATAATCAGACTGAAATGGCCCTTCTTTTTTTTTTCATCGCTGGAAAAAATAAATAAACCACAAAATGAAATGTGAAATAAGGGGGAGATGTAAATTAATGTTTTTTCAGGAGGCTTATTTTGTGGGTAACAGGGAGGGATTGTGAGCAATAGTCTAGATTTACCAGTAGCTGGTTGATTTAAGTTTTATTGGTAACTGCCATTATTAAAACAGGTTTTTACCTGAAATCCAAACACGTTGCTTTATCATCATCAAGATATTAACTCTCATTTATCCAAACTCAGATGTAGATAATCATAATAAAATCTGACTTGCAGGCAGAGGAGGAGAGAACAAACAGAGAGAAGCAACTTGAACAAGAGGAGAGAATTGCTAAGGAGCTGGCACGCATCAACTATGAGACACAGAGAGAAGAGAAAATGAGACAGTACATTAAAGAAAACAGGTATGAACATTTAAGTCATTACCTTGACTTACTGTATATCTGGGCAGGGCCGTCTCAACCGGACAGGCAAACTAGGCAATTGCCTAGGGCTCTGAGCTGGAAGGGGGGCCCCCAGAGACGGCTGACATTGGTCCATATCAATAACAATATGAAGGAACCCCTATAGACACTGCAACAATGACAACACGGTGGAATCCCCCCTAATGGGGCCCCCTACTAGCTGCTGCTTGCAAGTGGCAGTGGAAGTAGGGTGACCAGACGTCCCGCATCGTGCGGGACTGCACAGCATTTCTGTCTCTTTTCACGTGTCACACAAATTGAGACCATGTCCCGCATGATTGGTTGCCACCCGCGCTAGCATTGTTGGAGTACTGTAGTACTACGGTACCTCACGGTACCACTACTTTGGGATAAGTTCAAAGTCCAATTGCAAGAGGGTGAGTCTCCATGCACCGTCCAATAACGGCTCGCGCTGGCCACCTGGCACTCAATATGCTGCTACGGTGGTTTGTATCCAGTGACATTTCAGGTATTAGCTGAGCTATTGAGTATCTTTAAGCAGTGAAAGTTATTATTTATTTCTTTTTACTTGTAGGTGCCTCTTGCCTGGGGCCCCCAGAGTGTCTTGAAACAGCCCTGTATCTGGGTCAACATACAAATGCAACATTTTGCTTTTGTGTGCTTTTCTCTGCTTTGGTCTCTTCATACTGTTGATTTTTAAAGTTTTCAAATACTTTTCAGCATGGAGCTTCGAGAGCTGGAGTCAAAGCTGAAGTCTGCATATCTGAATAAGGAACGAGCTGCACAGATTGCTGAGCAGGAGGCTACAAGGCTTGGGACAATGGTGAGCACCAACCTCACTGAAGTGCTGGTTGCAAAAGATGGATTTTGTTTTTCAAAATATCTTCCTTTAAATAACTCCAGATGCTTTTCTTTGTGTAATAGCCACTGGGCAGTGATCCAGTGATATTAAATTCAGGAAATGTTGTTAAAGACTATTCATAATGTACAGTTGGACGTTATGCACCAAGGCTCATTATCAAAGTTCTTGGAAAAATAATTCAGGAGTGAAAAATGGTCGTATTCCTCCTGATAAGGAGCTTTTAACTTTATGAAACTTTGATTTCAAGTGGAAATTTGAAATACAGAATATTTTTTACACCGTGTATGTCTTCTCTCTGACATTAGCGTGAGGAGGCAGACTTTGCTCGCAGGATGAAGAGTGAACATGAGCAAGCGGCCGCTGAGAAGCAGAAGCTGGAGCAGAAGCGCCAAGAGGAGCTGGCGCAGTATCAGAGAGAGCTGGAGCAGCAGCTCGTGGAGATGGAGCGCAAGAGACAAGAGGCGTACGAGGAGTTCCTCAAAGAGAAGCTCATGGTTGATGAGATTGTCAGGAAGATTTATGAGGAGGATCAGATGTAAGTACTTAATTGCCAAGTCTTACAGTCTGTATCATGAGTGCACAATGCAACAGTATTTATCTTGCTAAACACAGTAGTCAAGGGTAAGATATTTGTGTGAGAAGAAACTTGAATTCCATGGATTTAATTTGGACTTGCTTATACTGGTCTGTTGAATCCAAGAAAGTAGATATGTTAAGTCAAATCATATAATATCCAGCGCACAAGGGCCATTGCATTCAATTAAAACTTAAAAACTTAAATTAAAGGTCCAGTGTGTAGGATTTAGGGGGATATATTGGCAGAAATGATATACAATATAGTGAATAACTATCCATGCAGATAAATACCATACATATTTTCTATTCATTGGTTCAGTATGAGTATACATTCCAAATTAAGTGTCCACTAGCATCTGTCTTCTTCCAGAGAAAATGTCAAGTTTTCCGTAGAATGATGGATTTTTAAAAAAAAAATTTCTTGAAGGGAGAGACAGCTGAAACTGGAGAAGGTCAGAGCCACTCAGCAGCACATTGAGGAATTCAAGAGACAGCAGGCCGAATGGAGACGCATGGAGCAAGAGAAAATGGAGGCTGAGAACAGACGCATCATGGAGCTTGCGAGCCAACAGCAGCAGATGGAAGAGAGCAGAATAGCTAAGATCAAAGAGAGAGAAGAAGCAAAGGAGCAGCTTCATAAAATGGTTGAGACATATTTTTTATTTAATGTTGACACTTTTATTCATTCATCAGTGACACCTGTGTTTGGCACCAAACATCACTCCTTTATTTCCTTCTCTAGCTGTCTGAGAAGATTGAAGAGGAGAGGCAGCAGCGTGAAGAGATGGAGCGAGTCCGTGAGGAACTTTATTTAGAAGAACAAGAGGAGGCTAACAGGCAGAGAGACATTGTAAGTATCACATTACTGTCTCACTTTATAAGCATCCATGCTCAACAGTTCATACTGTAATGAAGTTGACAGTTGAGACAAATTTATGACCAATATATTGGATACTAGGGATGCATGCAATGATTACAAGTAGTTGATTATTAATTAATGATTAATGTGTCAGTCTTTTTTTTATGAATTGTTTGGCTTATAAAGTATCTTTAAACAAGGAAAAATGGCCGCTATTAGATGAGAGACATGCACAGACTCCTGTGTGCGCCTGTGAATTATCTTAATGTTTTTTAAAACTTTCCTCCAACAGGAAGAGATGGAGAAGAAAATCAGACAGAGGCTGATGATGCAGCAGACCTGCCAGGAGCAGATGGCTTTCAAAGAGATGCGGAGGCAGGCGGAGAAAGAGGAGGAGGAGGCCTTCAAGAAAATGATGATGGCTAAGTTCGCAGAGGACGATCGGTTGGAGCAGATGAACGCTCAGAAACGACGCATGAAACAACTCGAGCACAAACGCGAAGTGGAAAAACTGATAGAGGACAGAAGACGGCAGCGTGAGGCCTACATGGTACGCACCAAGCTCTCTGTGTGCATGATCAAACCAAGAATAAGGTCTGATTCTTGATAGTAGTTTTGTTGTCAGAGGTTATGCTGCTAGCGTTAAACCCTGGAAGGAACAGTTAGCAGCAACCTCAATGATATTTGATATTGAGCACTTGCAAAGTCTTAAGATGTATTAAGCTGCAGCGTATCATCTTTGACTCTAATGTCAGTTTTAAATGACCTGCTGTGACACTGCAATTGATCTCTCCCTTAAAGGAACATGAGGCTAAAGAAAGAGCACTTGAGCAAGAGAGGGAGGCGCTGCGCAGACAGATCATTGAAGAAGAGAGGCAGCGACTTCTTAAACGTCACGCAACTAAACTCCTTGGATACCTACCAAAGGTATGATGCAGTGTATGAATCATAAATAAAATTACACAAGTTCATATCACTCATGTATGACCATGAGTTAAACATTTTCAGGGTTTGCTCCGTGAAGAAGACCTGGAGCACTTTGATGAAGACTTCAGAAGAAACTTTAGAACACGTCAGGCAGATATCTTCTCTGACGATGGCTGGGAAGACGACGAGTGAACTCTGTCCCTGTCATTGCATACTCAGCCACTAGATGGCAGTTTGAGGTTACAGTTAACTGAGTAGCACTTTATCAGTGACCACAAAAATTAATTTCTCAGTTTATATGATAGAACTTGTTTAGTATTCAGTAACAACAACATGATTTAGTGACATGTTTTTATTAGGTTTGTGCAGACAAGGTCAGACAAACCTCTGAATCTAAATTTCTTAAATCTCTTCTATATGTCTGAAGCTCTGAGTGTTTACGACTTCCCCCAGTCCAAAGCTTTCATGAACTCGTCCTCTGTGAATGACAGCAGCTTGGCAGCTTCAAAATGCATCTGTACAGAAAAACAAAACAAAAAGTTAGTCCGTGAACATTTTGATTGGATTATGAGCAGTGTGTGTATTAACAGGGTGAATGAGATAGAGACACGTACCTTTTGTCTTTTGAGAATGTCAATCAGCTTGAGCTGCTTCTTGAAACCCACGATGAGTTCTGCTTTCTGCTTCTTTAGCATTTTGTTTTCAGCAAGTAGATTTTCTTTACTCTGATGTTCCTCACTTATCTTGTCCTATTTAAAATAATTTGAAAGACTGAAGTTAGTAGAAGTTAAGCAGATTCAAACATGCACAACCTGAGGTTACAACTATTACAACATGTTGAAATTCAGTTATAGCTGCTGCTTTATGAAGCTCTAAAGAGTTAAATGAACTCTGTCCATCTTTAAATATCATATTCCATGTTGTCCACTGTGCAGCTTAATATTCAGCTACTATTCATGAAAGACTCCTGATTTCCCTGCATGCTTCAGTTTAATTCTTTGTTTATGCAGTTTTTCACTGTGTGAAGTTACAGAGCTCCCTGTTTTCAGTTTCATTTGTAGGGGATCTTTAATCTACTGAAATGATGCATTATCTTTTTGACCTTACTTCACTTTTTAAAACTACAACAATACTAAAACATTCAACAAATATATGAAATAAACCCTGTAACAGGACATTTTGCTGATATGCCCTCTACAAATGGAATACATTTTTAATATATTGAAATAAAGATTAAATTATTTGTGATTGTTATAAATATGCTCTTTTTTTAGTTTTAATGTTTCAATCATTCCATGTTTGACTGATGTTTTTATTTCTCTCTGTATCATTTCATACTATTTTAAAAGCACACAGGATTCTATATAAATTGCAGTTATTCCTGCAATAAAAGTCTGCTCATTAAATAGTACATTAAAAATTGTTAATGTCAAACGCAAAAGATAAAACCATGTTGAAAGGAAAATTCTGGTCCCATCTCTAAGTGAAGTCAAGCACCAAAGAATGAAATCTTAACCAAAAAATAAACAGTTTGTTTTTATCAGCACTGTAATTAGCCTACCTTGTTCATCTGTTTCATCTTGTTGAGTTGAGTCTTTAACCTCTCCACCTCCTCCAAGGCTCTGTTCAGACGAACCTCCACAGTGCTGTGGACTGCTGCTGCTTGTTTGTGGGATCTGTTCATATTTTCTATTTCCTGCAGAACCAGGACGTGATCACACATGAGTATTGGAAGGCAGTGTCATATTTTACAGGTTATTAAGAGTCCATATATTGTCAGTCTCTTACAGACCTTGTGTAAAGCAGACACTTGCAGCTGAAGACCATCACATTTTTTGTCGGACTCCTCTGCCAAAGCTCTGTGCTTCTCGATCTGCGTCTGCTGGATGTTTGTTGTTTTTTGCAGTCTGGCTCGATCCTCCTCCAGCTCTTTAATTTTTGCACTAAGTTCAGCGTTTTCATCATCCTGCAACAGCAGAAACTTAATTGTTATCTACAAACAATGTCAGTATTTGAGTTTCCATCATCCAATGGTTCAGAGCTGTTCAGGTGATGCTCTGCCCCCCTCTGCTGATTAGCAGGAGCAATAACAGCTCTTGTTGAATCAATGTTTATCAAAAAAATGTTATACCTTCTTATAATATTCACATGACAGCTGATCCAGTTCCTCTTGCATGATCCGCAGTTTTGCCTTCAGAACTCGTATCTGAGCATCTGAAACACCTTAAAACAAAACAGAACTCAATCACTTAGAAGCTCATAAAAATGGCTTTCACTCCCTCCCCCCACAAATACATAAAAAATGTATGAAAAGTATCACAGGCTCTGACAAACTTCAGGCTACTATTCAATGGTAAAGCTCCATTTTTATATTTATTTAAGATTCCTAAAGGTCCAGTGTGTAGGATTGAGAGGGATATTTTGGCAGAAATTTAATATAATAAGTATATCTACATAGAGAGCGGGTCCTCGTCAGTCTCTACAATAGCCCAGAACCTTAACGATCTTAATCAGAGACAAACGATGAGCACATATTCACAGGTGCTGGGCTAGTGGCCAACCTGCGACATGTCAAAAAGCTTCAGAGAAACATTGATTTGTAGCATGAAACTGCTTTATTCAGAATTTTTTACAGATTGTATTACCTGGTTCATGTGTTTTGGAAAGGAAGAGACCTCTGCAGATAATTTGGCTCCTGACTCCTGAACAATAAACACTAGAGGAATCCTGAAGTTTCAAGTGGTTGCAGTCCTCACAGCTAGATGCCATTAAATCCCCCTAAATCTTGCGCACTGTTTCTTTAAGTGGCAAGATTTTCTCATGGTAGGAAATTTCTCAGTAACTTTCAGATCCTTCATGGACCCCAAAACACAGGTAATCTTTGTTATAAATGTAAGAAATAATGTGAATGTATCATTTATTGTTGTAAAATAAAATTACAGCTCACATATAAGTATTTACAAAAAGAGGTAACACAGACTAAGACAAAGGAATAAAATGTCTTATGTGGAGTTTTTTGGTAATTCTCAGACAAATAAAAAAAAAAAAAATTAAATAAATATTTGCATACATAATTCATCACTATAAATAAATAAAACTGTGGTTTACATTTCACAAAGTGACATAAATACCTGATCCTAGATTTTCTCCAGCGTCAGCCCCATCATCCAAACCATTTTCATGAACCACAGTGTTGTTGTTCATCTTCTCCTCCATGCTACTTATCGTCTTCGCCAGAAAACAATCAGCTGAGTCTTCTACAGCTGCTAAATCATCCACCTGAGACATACTTGGGGTTCTGAAATAAAGCAAACAATGTGAAAACATTTCGTGGCCTTATGAGAAATGTTCAAGTATAATGTGTTTAACAAGATGTATGACATACTGTGATAAAAAATGTTGTAAATGGCTCTAAAGTTATTTACAATCAAACTCACGCTGTTTTACGATGAGGCCCTTTCCCTTGTTTTTCAGGACACATGTTGTGTGATGTTGATGTGGCTCTTTTTTTGGTCACCGCCTAAGAAAACAGATGGCGAAAACAGAAGCAGTGTAATGTTGTGTATGCCTACAGCGTTAATAAACTATACTTGTAGACTGTAAACTCGTGTCTGTTGAGGAAAGTGTCTGCAGGTTTCTGAAATACAGACACCTTACTATATAATCTGAACTCATACCTTCACACCAGGCTCCTGCACGGCAGCCTGTTGATGCTTCATTATCCTGTAGGTGAACAGATAGATATAAACAGAGACAGGTAGTAAGATACGTACACACACTTACATAAATAAAGAAACTGATGATTTTGCTGATCAAAGCTGGGGTAGGCTGTTTAATGTTGGTATCATAGGGCCAAAATCCCATAATACATTTTGACCATACTAATGTTCAAATGGTCTGAGCACCAGACCTCCTGGAGTTGTGCGCACCCAGATCCGCCTCATATTCCGCCCTCTACACGCCCTAGTTCAACCATAAATGGTCATGCAAATCACCTCACGAATGCGATCTGCATATAAATAAGCCGGCATGCGAGTGTTCTCTCGTTGTGTGAGTCACGGCGACGGGTGAGAAACGAACCAAAAAACGGAATTTCTCCGAGACTGAGCTAGAGACCCTTTAACGGGAGGTGGAGGACTGAAGAAAAATTTTATTTGGTGGCCACAGCAGCAGGATCACTAATACAAGAAAGCGAAATAAAGTGGCAGCACATCAGCGCTGCTGAAGCTGTCAGCTGTGTCTGTGGGACTGCACGGACAGTGCCATCTTGCGCAATTACGCACGAGGGTCACCGCAATTTATATGTTTATGGCAATTAGTCTGATCCGACTCCCGGCCTGAATTACAGCATGAACCAGTGGTATCCCTGTCCCAAAATACAACGTGTAATTTGAAATACAATTCAAAGATGAAAGTGTAATAAGCGAACATGTTTCTTAATGCCGGTTTTGTCATGAACAGCACATGTTTAAGTAGGGCTGATGAAGTGAGTGTAACGGTTGTGCTTAATGGCTGTATTTCGAGACATGATAAATGCACTGGAAATATTTAGCTAAATAAGTAAATATATTCCATGCAGTCGCGCCATCCTCTCCCCCTCCTGCGCTCACAGAGTGGACAATGAGACGTTAGAGGCAGTGCGGATTAAATAAGTATTTAGAAAGAATTTCAGTTCAGGATTTGAGTTGGATTTTACAACGTTTTTATGAAACAATTAAAACTCACTCCAAACGCAAAATTAGGCTGCTGGATTTAATTTCAATGATAACGTGGATCTAAGGTGGATATAGCGTGACATTAAATTTGTGTGAGACATCAATAAAAATCCGACTACACTTCTCCACCTCGCCGTGTGCGTCGCCACTTCCCAGTGTCTCCAAAATGTGCGCACGCATGACTCAGAGTTTGCTTACAGGTGCGCACATTCTCCCGCCAAGTTTATTTTTATAAATCACAACCTTTGCGTGGTAAGTGGCATACGCCACTTTCAAGCCCCGTTTTGTGCGTAAGCAAGCTTTATAAATGAGGCCCCTGGTCATTTCAGAGGGAGGGAGTTCCTATTGGCTGTTCTACAACTACAGTTCTACAACTACAGTTCACGTCCCCTCAGATGGTGACAGTCTGATTCAATGGCGAAGAATCCTGCAGAAAAGTTGTTATTCCAGGAAGTTTTATTTTCAAATTCTGCTGTTTTTTTGCTTTTCTATAATGTCTGCCTTCCAAAGCTTTAAGTTGTTTCTCTTACACTGTGGCTTTAATTAACTTGAATATTTGAATGGTCTGTGTGGAGGCTGGAGTGGTGCACTGAAATAAATGTAGACTTTTAGAGAAAATGAGCAACAAAAATATCAATGGTTATTCTTGTGGCATGAGCCTCAAATATTTATTACCTTGATTCGTCTTCATCCTCGATGTCCGTGAGCAGGAGGGTGGATAAGGGTTTTGACAGAACTTCACTCTGTTCTCTCTAAAATTCGATAAACACCAAGAGCCAGATTCACATTTTAATTTTACAGCAAGTCTTTACTCAACAATACAAAACAGAAAAGGAGCACAAATAATTGATGTGAACATGTTGATAACTTACCATAAGTTGTTCTGCCTGTCTTACTATATCTGCAGTTTTGGCTTCCAGCTCTGCATTTAAGAGTCTGAAGAAAATAAAATGGAGGATGATGACATCATATGGCTAATTTTATACAGTTTTGCAGGACTGTAAGAAATGCAATACAATAATGTAAACACAGCTTGGTGCCTTGTGGCGTCTGTGATGGAGAGAATTTTTTTTGTGTTCATTTTAGCATAATGACTCTCGTACTTGTGGTAGGCTACTTAGGTGATGACAGGCTTTTATTAAAAAGCTAATGTAAAGTCAGTCATGGTTATTAATGTACTTTAACACAAGAGGGATTTCTCTTCAGGTTTGATGAAGGAATGAAGTGAAGCTAAAGGAATCTTAAAGAGTCCAACCAGAGTGAAGAGGAATTTCCCCAAAAATGAACTAACCTTCTACATTAAAATAAATCAGAAGGGTCCACCTGAAGACGTTTTACATATTTCATTCAAACTGAATCAAAACAAAGCCAGCAGATATTGTAATGGGTAGTCTTACTTGTATTGTTCTTCCTTGAATAAAAGATCATCTGTGTGCTTCTTTGTTGGAGCAGAGGCAGATTTGGCCTGAGGTCTCACCTCAGCCCTCTTGGACTTCTCAGCGTTACTGCTGGAGGACGGACGTTTCTTGGGCTAGACAAGACAAAGCACTTAGACTTAGTAAAATTATCTCACAGAGGTAAAATTTCACATCATGAGATTGGATTATAATATAAATCAATTTACAACTTACCTTGTTTTTTATCTAAACCTGACTGATGAATTGGCAAACATGGCTGATAAGTAACAAGAAACTGCAGCACAGAAATGGCATGTAGTTTGTCCACAGGGAGCCCTGACAAGTTTCTTTTACAACCATGAAATGTCCTGCTCAGGACGAATATTGGTCACAATTCTTTAAAAATCAAATTTAAGGGATGTCTGTTTATGATACAAAAAATTATATCATAATCTGATTTTTTTTACTCTCAAATAATGTAATTCTTACTGGCTTTTAAGACCCAGAATCAGTCAGGCAGTACACACTTTTCAGGTAAGCAGTCAAACACGGAGTAGGGGTTTGAACAGATCTTTCTGATTGACTGAAAGGCTTATAAACCCTTTTATAGAGAATCCTTCAATAGAAGAATAGCACATTGTGACATGTTAGTACACTCAGGCTGAAGTGATCAGGTGACTGATGGTGTCTATTGATAAACTGAATAAAAATACTATATAATATCACCTGTCAGATTAGAGGATATGATTATGGTTTTGCACTTTCTATATAATAGGCAAAGCGTTTTAAATTTAAAGGTAAAATAAGCAAGGCAGTTTGTTTTTAGCATTGTGAAAACTGAATGAAAGCAATTTGTGACAGATGTTTGTGGACAAAATCACAACTGCATGGGATTAGTTTGGCGTTCCGCGTATTCTTCAACCACCCACACACTTTAGCACTGTTATACCTTATAATATAAATATTCATATGGGCTATTTTGTCATCCTCTGGCAGCATTAGTGTCCATTTATTTCGAAAGAGACAACACTAATGAGCCGTATATTAAGCGTCATGTCCACCATACGGTTACAGGAAGTAGTTAACGTTAGCTTGTGTTTGTTGACTTCACCTGTTGTAAACTAATTATAAGCTTATAACCCTTTATTGTTGGCCCACAAACTATTTTATTAAACCTTTGACGGGTAAACGTGAAAAAACTACGCTACAAACCTGAGAGACGACGGACCGAGACGGAGGAGGCTTTTTATCACAACTTCTTTCAGCCATTGTAACAGAGGGATTCGATGCAGTCCTGGTTGCATAGCAACTACAGGTTCAGTGAGCGCGCTGTACGGTAGCCCATTATGGACATTTAAAGATGAAATTTCAACAGCCTACACAAAAGTTGCATTTCAGCAGGTTGTGCTAACAGCTGAAACAAAAATGGGAATGTATTTTCTTAAGGTTTTTAAAGCAAAATACTATTACTTAGTTACAAAAGTTAACAATAAAGTTCAACATAAAAACATATTTGTGTAGGCTAATTAAATGTTCACTTTTGCCCAATAAACTAATCAAAACGGTACTCCAGCAATTCGACTTTTAATTTAGTTAATTCAAAAGTATCTTCTATTAGCCCTTCCCCGCCTGATAAAACACACACGTCTTTCAAACTTCACACCTTCATTTTAAAAAATGGAATTCTCAAATCCGAGCTGTGGACAATATCAGGGCTATTTTTAAATATTATATTAGGATTTTATGTAGAAATAATCATACAGAAATCTGTGTGGGGAAGGTTACTTTTGAAATGATATAGGTCATAGATTAGAAATTACATTATTTTTATTACTAAATCAAAGTAATGTACCTTATTACATTTGATCACTTTTTACTTTTCTAACAATGTTTTAGACTGGGCAATAAAGCTGAAAGCAATCCAGATATAAACTATGATAAAAGAAGCTGTGCATTCCTGCATGGTTCAAGGATGTGGCTACACATTTTGACGAATAAAGGCCTGTCTCGATTAAACGCCTGGCCTGGTTGCCAAGCAGTTCCTTTTTTTCTTTATAGAAGTTCTTCAGATGTATAAAACTGGGTTTTGGCTATCTTAAAATTAAGTTTTCATTGCTTGATGACCCTTTAAGTTAGCCTACTCATATTCCTTAAGTCCGTAAGTGTCCTGAGATCAAAAGAATCGAAAGGGTTTTTCTTAAAAAAATAATCCAAGTTGGGAGTATTGTTTTAACACGATAAAGTGTTGTGTTGGTATGCCGGGTGCTGTAATCATCAAGTACCATTTCACATCTCTGATGTGCTGTCTGTGGGAGCCAGATCAAATGAATGATTCATGATTAATATATTATCTGAAGCCTAATTTTTAATATACATAATAGTTTAAATAAACTTTGCATTGTATTTCCCATCTTTGCTGAGCAACAGTTTTGTGTGAAAGGAATTAAAGGCCTGTCCCAAATATAGGCCTGCTGATTTAATTGATTTAAGCAATTAATAGCCTAGGCTACTAATTGAAGTTTTATGGTAAGTGTTGCATACTCCCAAATGAAGTTATATCTTAACAAACCACCCTCAAATTGTCAAGCCTACATTGTGCTGATGGTCATACAGCCAACTAATCATTAAAAATGCATATAATAATAATTATGATAATAATCTATGTTTGTTTTATTGCTGGGTCAAAGTTAACTAAATAAATTAATAGTATCCAAATTTACATTGATGGACATTCATAGTAACGTGCTCAGTAACGTCTTCAGCTTACATGTTGTTTTTAATTCTGGGGGTCTCAGTGCGCATGCGTCTGCCCAACAGCTACTACTCACCATGCACATGCAGAGAAATCCCATAACGTGAGAGGCACAGCACACCGGAGGGACCAGCTAGTTGTTTTGCAACTGTCCGTGTACTGTTTACACCCCGCCTGTATTTATATCGATGCACCAGGTCGCGTTGGACAGCGACGCGTAGTTTTGCTGCACGGCGTCTTTAATTCACCAAGTGTGGGGACTTGGAGCGAGCGATGTCGGAGGAGGACTGGGTGGCAACGACAACAACAACAGGGCGCGCTGCTGTCCCGTTAGCATCGCAACGTCCTTCGGTCCATGTTGTTTAACCCGAGTGCACCTGTCCACGCCTCCTGTCCAGTCCAGTCCAGTCCAGACTCGTCCCGACCGCCATGGCCGAGGAGGACCCCCAGCAGCAGGCGGACCGCGGGGCGAGGAGCCTGCCCGGCCTGCTCACCGGGCTGCAGGGTGCTGAGGCCAGTGCTCTGCAGCTCAGGATCAAGAACTCCATCTGGTGAGGAGGTGTTCACACACGGGGCACACTTTGATGCATGAAGGGAAAATAATCAAATATAAAACTCATACTGAGTCCCTTTTATTAGTTGTGGTCATGAAGTCAGTACTTCTACATATAAGTACTCCTGCATGCAAAATGTTACCTCAGTAAAAGTACACAAGTATTATCAGCAAAATGTACTACCATAACAACTAAACAGTACTCCCTGTGCAGCTTGAGAGTATACAATTATTATATATTATTTTACTGGATTACTGTTGCATTAACATGTAAGTTGCATACTGTTATAGTTTAGCTGTGTACCCTTATTAATCCACAACTGTGCATCATATTCTATGAGCTGTGTTATATGTAAAATATTAGGGCAGTATTTCCCTCTGAAATCAACTAATAAATTAAAAACTATCGGAAAATACTGAGTAAATGAGTCACATTACACCACTTAGTCTACTTAAGCAAAATTAGCAGTACCTAAGAGTAAAAACACGTCCTTCATATTAAATGTTAAATTACTCATGCAGGGCTTAATGGTTTATCATAGCTATAAGTGCATTATTATTACTCATCTAGCAGATTAGAACTTTTCTCGTGCTGTCAAATAGTTCTATCAGTAACAGTGTTATGTATTTTATTCACCAATGATATGTTTTTTTTTAATGTAAAATATGAATCTGTAAGTGTCTGTAGCTGTCAGAGAAGTGTAGTTGGGTAAAACGTACAATATTTTTCTCTGAAATGCAGTGAAGTATCAGCAGCATTAAACTGAACAACTCAAGTAAAGTTCAAAGGTGAGGTGTTTGGGCTGGTTGTTATTGCTGACAGACTAAACTATGAATATTGTCTTGGAATCAATAAGTACCCTTATTCATTAGGGTCAGGTGTTAACATGGACAGTGGTGGAATGTAACTAAGTGCATAAATGTACTCAGGTGCATTACACTGTTGAAGCACCTGTACTTAACTCCACTGCACCTCACCAGAAAATACTGTATTTTCTACTCCTCTGCATCTCTAATATAATAACTAAAAAACATATGGCCAGCTTATAAAACATGATGACACATTGCTATATATAAACTACCAGACAGTATAACATATAGTAGCTGAAATTAGCTCCACCTCAAACAGCTGCAACATTAAAATGTTGCATACACTTAAATGCACCTGTAATAATAATCTTATGTTGTAATACATGATAATATAAATCTGACAGGGTCACTCAATTTGTATAATTCTCTGTCATTTAACTTAATAAACATTTTGACTGCAGGACTTTGTAAAGTATTGACACATTTAATCTGGCTCTAGTTAACCCCTTCCTTCACTTCACTCCCGCCTCCTCATCTCTTGCCTGTATACTGATTTGTTAAAGGTGTTGTCACAGTAGTATCCATCGACAGTCTCTCAGTTCCCTCTGTTTCCATCATCACTGTCCTCACGTGCTGAAACCAACACCTCCAGTATGTAGTTCCTATTGCAGTGGGTGAATTGACTTAACATAACTCAGTTTCACATTATGCAGCACAAATATAACGGCATGTGTTTATTTCCAAGACCTGTTTTGGAAAGCTGCTCAAACACATACCAGACGTGGCCATGATATTATCCAAATTATTTTTACACCGGTTTATATAAAAGAGCTCTCCAAACTCAGACGTCTTTGCCTGGTTTAAGCTACAAATACAGTAACTGTTTCCCCTCCCAAAAAAACCTAAACCACACAGAATCACATGAGTATAAGTCATAGTGAAGTATTAAATTACCAGCTTTAAATAAAGAAAACTGACGCCTGTGTTTGTTCACATAACAAAATCAGAAACACCGAAGCAGAGCCTCATGTAAAGTAAAACGTTTTAACACAAAATCAGTTCAAGGTTTCAAGGAGCTGCCAATCAGTTTAAAGACTGTTGGAGACATAGTCTTGAATAAAACTGGGCTGGGCTGTGTTAGTGCAGTAGAAAGATGCTAATATGTTTTGAAATTGGTGCTACATGACTAGAGAAAATAGAGAAAAAAGAGCTGTGGCATTTTGCTTTCTCAAGAGGTGGAAAAACTACAACTACCAGAATGCACTGTGCCACACCAGACCAATAAACGCCCCCGCTGGTGGTGATGTAATGTGAGCTTTGAAATTTAGGGTGAGAAATTGGCAATACAGTTAAGGAATCTTGGTTTAAATTTGATCAGCTCTGCCTAGTTTTACCATTTGGTCTGAGTTTGAGACAGAAAGAGGGGCAAGGCTCTCTCTCAATCCACTTCTGCACTCTTTCTGTATCCGTTATGGCGAGCATACATAAACACAGAAGAACAATATGCAGTTTGAGCAACAGCCCTGCAGCAGATCCCTAGGAAGTGCACTGGGCTTTAAAGCCAATTTTCGTAGTGGCCAATCAGTAGAATTACAACTTCTGATTCTGTCATGTCTTACATTTTTTTAGCATCTCAGCCTTAGTAAAATGACTTGTTTTACCATCAGAAATTGATCAGTTTGGTCCAATAACATTTGGAAAGTCTAGAGGAGTTGCACAGTAGAGTTATTTTGTCCTCATTCCGTTAAGTGGAGTGCTAAACAGGAAGTAGCCAGCTCAGGCGGTGAATGTCTCTAGTGTGCCTGCTCTATGGGCACAATGACGCAGAGGTAGTGCCAATCATACAGGTAATTTAATGCGTGGCAGTTGAAATATGTTGGCTTCATGCGCTCCTTAGCAATGTTTATATGATCCAGCATCCAGTTCTCTTTATACATCCATACCCTAGAGCCAGGGAAAATCTGCTTTTGTGTCATCCTGAGGATTTGAGCTGACAGATGAGCAGGGAGATCTGGGCGCTGGTAAGATGGAGGGAGGTCTACCATAGTTCATTTACACACACTACTCATATTGTTATGAAACAAAGCTGGTGGAAAATCAGCAAAGTATCCTTTTAAAAACTGATGGTGTATACTGTCTGTGGTTGGTGTTATTTAAGGCCGTGTTCTGACTGGAACACCATTTTATTCCTGAATGTGAATGAACTAAAGTAGGCCTATTATCGTTTAAATGTCAAACAGCCATAAAATGTCAAAAGGCTGAACGACCATTAAGCACGACAGTTCAGAGGTGAAACGTCCTCAGGAAAACCTCAACAGGAACATGTCACTGCTTACATATTGGGATATTGAATATTTGTCCTGCTCATTAAATCTTTAACCCTAAAATGAACTTAAGACCTGACCCTAAAAGGATTAGAGCATAAATATTGACGTTCACTTGAGCAGCTGAGTGGTTCATGGTAGAGTGAGACCATCTAAGTTGAGGTCAGCAAGTTCATTTACAACTATGCCATCACTCTGTCCTCATGTAGAGCGACAGTCCACAGTGAAGAGCTTCTGTCATTCACTCTAGCCACCTACCTGGATGTTATACACACCGTGATCCGAACAATCTCTTGCATCAGTTCAGTGTCTCAGGTGTCATTCAGCACGTCTGCCAAATCTGCCTAACAATCACCTCAACGACGGCTATTCAGCACAGAGAAATCCTCGGCTCCCTAGTAACAGTGAATTAAAGTGAACTGTTCTTGTCATGGCTTAGAGCGTCTCCTTATTCTGACCTGCCTGGTGATGCCGGGTCTTTAAGTGACACCTGCCTTCTGCCTCACAGTCAACAACAACCTGACCTGTCTCAGATTAAGTACTAGAACAGAAGAAGTTGTACACATGCATCTGGTTTGACTCTGAGCAGTGTTTCACTTGTGTAAATCTGTCTTCTAATGCTGGCTTTTGGCGTAGTAAGAGCTCTTGCATAAGGCCATGTAGTTTATTTTGTCAATTTTTGCTATTTCTTGCTCCCAAAAAAAGTAAATGGCAAAAGTTCATTTGCTCCACATCATTTGTCTGAGCGTTGTATGTGTACAGTATGGAGGTAGCTGGCCTCCATGTATTTAGAATATACAGTATATACAGTCTATGTACGATATCAGGAATCACAGTAAAACATTTGAGAACTCTCTTCGCTTTTCCCTGACATATGATTTAATATAATAGCCAAATATTTAAAGTCCCTCTCCACTTAAAATGTGTTTTTCTTATTATGTTTGTCACTACAGAGGTGTTTTCACAACCCTTTCCTGTCTGTGCACTACCCTAAAGTCTGAGATTCCTACGTATGCTAGACTCACAAGTCAGTCTTTAGACGCTTTGCTTAACTAAAGACTGATGTCTTTCTCCCTGATTTTGTGTTTAGATGGGCGGGTACAATTTCAGAGTTTAAAAAAACTCCCTACGTTGCAGAACCAATAGTAAATCCGCAGTCCGCAATCCTTGGTGGCTCGCTGAACTCTTGTGCTCGTAAACACAGTCCGACTAGAAACACGTGTAGTGGTACAAAATGGCTCAAGTCGCTGTAAGTCCTTCATTTCCACAATCTTGTGGACTGAGCACACGTTTGATAAAACGTAGTTAAATCTCTCGGCATCCATTTTCAAGCTCTCTGTGTGTTTGTTTCCTTGCGGATGAGAAAAGGGCGAGCACACATTTCCGGGAGGGCGTGTCCTTTTCAAAAATGCAAGAGGTTGCTTTGTTGCCGGCCGTTTTTGCCTGTGTGTTAAACACACTTTAGAAAGAAGTGTCTCCAGACTATCAGAAGGCAGAGATCTCTGATTGTCTGGTGGCGAGACAATACGTATGCTGGACCAGTTATATTTGGTACTTCACTAATACGGAAGACCTTTGCTGTCTAATACGAGGAACACATATCAACAGGGAACAGACTTTAATGCAACAACGGCAAAGAAACCTGAAATCTGCAGCACAGAGAGGACTTAAAGAAAGTGAGAGTTCGCATTAACATAGTGAAAGTTTTGACGGCAAACTTTGTAGAATGGGCAGTTTTTGGATGTAAACCAGATGCACATCACCTAGGAAAGGGAAGGCACGAGCGACCTTACTCTGCCTCAGAGTGGCTGACCCTGACATTCCTACCCTAACCATAACCAGTGTGACGACTCTTACTTGATCCTAACCAATCCAACCAACGAAGTCAACGAGAACTAGCCAGTCAGAGGCAGAGTAGAGCAGATTGTGCCTTTTCAAATTGGCAAACCGAACCCCTCAGATTCCTTTCACCATCTACCAAACCTGTAGTAGCAGATATTATTGCATGTTTCACATATGCTAACACAGTGTAAGCCACTGCCAGTTAGCCTACAAACAAACATAAATAAAAAATGCTAACTACACTTACCATCCTGACGTGTGCTGGTCACTGGTTTGTTGCACAACATACTCCTCTGAGGCTCAAGCATGTGTGGCTGAATCTGTCAGATGTATCATCTAATGCTGGCTATCTTGATGGGCGTTGATCTTTCACCAGTCAACCTAGCACAAGCAGCGCTGGAGAAGGGGGAAACAGGAGTGCGAAGAAACTTTTCTTAAGCAATCTTAAGTGCTATATTGTAGGCAACTGGACTTGCTTGAGTTTCTTGAAGACATTTCACCTTTCCTCCAAGAGGCTTTTTCAATAAGAAGTTTCTTGGATGAGAAGTGAAATGTCTTCAAGAAACTCAAGCAAATCCAGTTGCCTATGATATAGCACTTAAGATTACCATGACATGGATGACTGAGAATCTTCACTGATATCTTTTCATAAGCAAATTTCTTTATTAGGGAGAAAGACTAGATGTGCTGTCAGCCCCTTGTCAGAATTTACCATTAACCATTATGTGGGAAAACCATGTTAAACAATATATTAGTATCATTAAAAGTATTTTTTTTGTACATACTTTAAAATGTGTCTGGAGAGGACCTTTAAACTCATTATAGGGTGAAAGTCTTTATTTATATCAAATTCCTCCTTCAAGATTAAATCAAACAGGATAAAACAGATGTATAGTACATTTTGTCAGTGACTGAAAATGAATTACAGTGTATAAAAAGCTTTCTGTCAGAGACAATGTTACCACAAGTCTGTCTCTTTTTACATATGACAACATATGTTCCTGGTGGTGGGATACATGACCTGAGAGATGCTGAAGGGAGGGTCGTCTCATACCAATCATTCCTCTGCTTTATAAATAAATACACTTTAGACACAAGTGCTCATGTTACACAAGCTTCATACTAATTTATACTTTGTCTCTGTTTTGCAGCAAATCTGTTCAATCAAAAGTGGAAAACATCCTGGTGAGTATCTCTGACGTGTTTTTAACCTACAAATTACATTTTAAATTAAACCTCATTATTTAACTGTTAAAATATTCATTGTCACTCATTTGTGGTTTTAACACAGAGCTGAAACACTCTGGCTTCCTGATGGATTTATCGACCTCAGGCATAAATAAAACAAAAGAACAACAGCAGATCTGTCCGCAAAACGGGAAAATATTGGACAGAATATATTATTACAGACTAATTCTGTTCCTGGGGTCTTACTCTTCCTGAGTTGAAGGTGGCGCTAGTGCCAACAAGCAGGAAAAGTCCAGCTCTGGGAGGAAACACTGAGCTCTAGAGCTCCGACAAACAGTTGTCATTTCAGATTAACCTGCGGATTATTTTCTTGATTAATCGATTTATCCCTGTAGTCCATAAAACATCAAAGAGAAGTGAAAAACACCTTTATGACTCCGCAGGGTTCAAAGTGATGTCAATTTCTCATTTTATCCAACCAAATAAATGTACACTGGTTATCATATATGAGAAAACAACCAACAAATCATCACAATAGGAGAAGCTTTTGATTGACGACAGGGTGGTTGCAGGTCCTTAAAAAGTCTTAAAATGTCTCAAATACACACGAATTTACCAATAAGAGGCCTTAAAAAGTATTTAATTGTCTAAAATTCAGGTTGGACGAGTGTTAAATGTTCATAGTCATAGCACTGTGAGAATATCCACTGTAGGGGCTGCAGGAAACATAATTTAAACAAGAAGGAATCACTATTTGATGGGTTTACCCGTGCAGAGAAGTAAGCACATAGTATCATCAGTGTCATTTGGTGTGCATTTTCATAGCAAGTTCGGTCTTTAATTCGATGTGAAGTGGTATTAAAAAGGTCTGAAAAAGTCCTTAAATTTAACTTGATTAAACCTGTAGACACTCTAGAGACTAATCAATTAAACAAATAAGCATCGCAGATTTACTGAGCTCTATCACTAGCTTGGCAATCAGCCTGTTACATTTTAACATTTCTGGTCGTGTACACATTGAAGCACACCAGAATCATTAGTAATCCTCTGGGGACCATGAATATCTGTAACTGAGAAACTATTATGGGAAATCTGGCAATCGTTGGTAAAAATCTGCCTCAAGCAGCCCTGCTGTTTGTGGAGCAAAAAATATATATTTCATGCTGAGCTGTCTGAGAAAAGGTCTGTTGTTAACACAGGCTTGAGAGACTTTCTCGCTTTTGTTCTCCAACATAAAATATGTAAGTAAATACCCCACTTGTGAACTTTGAAGCTTCTGTGTGTCCTAGAAAGGGCGGTTGCTAACAAGTGGTTGAATTAGACTGTAGAACGTTACGATGAGCCACGCCGAACACAGCTTTACAGTCTTGTTACGGTGACGTTAGGTCATGTAACTGCAGTCTAGTTTGTTTATAGCCTAACATTGGCTTTTTGCTTCTGGTGATTGCATTTAGGCTTCAATAATCATGAAAGTGGCATTTATCATGCTCAACCACACATGTCGGTACCATAAACGATTGTAGCCACAGAGGTTATTTTCAGCAATAATCCAAAGTCCAATGGAAAAATTTCATGGACTTTTTGATGAGGGAACCAGTGCGATGCTAACTTTAGTGTTGGCCTACAGGAAAACATCATCCCTGGAGCACTCTATTGTGCAGCTGTCAGTACATTTAACTTATAGAATATTCCAGAATCACATTCAGCTTTTAAAGGACCAATATACGAACATCTATGACTCAGAGTATGAGCGGGGATGGTCTGGATATGGCTCCTAACATGGAGGTGGCTGATCTAGCAGCTAGCAGCTAACAGCGCAAACAGCATGAACAGTGCTATAGACAGAATCAGTGGTAACAGAGCTAACGGTGTTAACTTGGGGGGAACTGGAGGGTGGGCGCTGCACTTCCATGATAGCACTGTCACAATATCAGCGGTAACTGCTGTATGAGCGTATTGTGGTGGCGATTAGCTAGGCAGCAGGACACTCACATCAGCACTCACATGCACGTGCGGCCAGACCAGCTACCACACACATTACCTCTGTGTGTCCCTGTCCGTTACTCCACTATATATTTGAAAGCAAATAGTTTTCTGCTGCTGTATTAATGCTCTGAATGTCGTATATTGCCCCTTCAATAAAAGAAACCCTCAATGCAAAGAATTCATTGTGAAGTCAAGGCTAGTAGAAGTTGGCTGGGACTTTGGTTGTCCTTATATAATCGCCTACTCTATATATACTGTGTGATGTCATGTAGCTGTTAATACAGATTGGTTCATCTACCCTCATCCCTGTCATGCCTTTCAAAAAAAGAAAGACAAAAATCTCTTTTAACCTTGTGTAACCCTGTGTTGTCACTCTCACTCTTCCTCCTGATCTCTCCTTGCTCTTGCGTTAGATGACAGACCCACAGCATCTTGTGTTGGGCATTTCTGATTTATCACGTACAAAGCTGCACAAAATAAGTGTGAACAGCGCAAATTAACTATCAACTCCTAAAATACACACTGCACATGTGTTTGTTCTTTGTTTCAAGTTAAAGGGAGAAAGGAGTTCACTGGGCAGATCTGATGACACAATAACATACAGACACTGACAGTCCAAGTCAGCAGAGCAGGAAGTGAGTCACACTTAAAAAGCCAAAGATGTCCTGATACACAAGGTTTTAGCAGGATTGCATCTGAAATGCAGCTCACAGATAAACTGCTCAGCGCTTATGCCTAGTTTAAAAATGACAGTGATTTTTTAAGAGGAATATGTGCATTTATTCCAAGTGGCTGCTCAGTGTTTTTTTTACCCTCAGCCATGGGAGAGCTGTGGTTCCCTAACTACTAAGAAGTTAATCAGAAGAGACAGAGGAGCCAGTTAGGGGGGTGAATGAGTGTGTTGGCAGTGTGTGGATGTGAGTCTGTACGCTCAACCACGCAGCGAGCTGTCCAGTCAAGGGTTAACAGCAGAGGATTCAAGTTCACCTTACAAGCTCCCCTGCTCTGCAGAAGCCAGTCTGTCTCTGTGTGTCTGTCTGCAGCCATTTAGACCGTCTGTGCGCACATGCCTGCGTGTCTCAACTGTGCAGCTGTACAACTGTAGCGTATTTATGCCGTGTGTCTCAACAATGCTGGGTTTAAAGTCAGAGTAAACTTCATGATTTGCAGTGTGTGACATACACCAAACATTGCATTTAGTCTGATGGACAAAAAAATGGTTTCATCAGAGGTTTCGTCCATCTGACCGACACTTGTATGCACTGTCTCTCCAATCTCAGCCTCCGAAGTTTTTTTTTGGGGGGGGGGGGTTGGGAGGGCGGTGGGCATTTTATGCCATTATTTGATAGGGGTGAGAGACAGGAAAGACATGCAACAAATGGTATGGCCAACCAGGAATTGAGCCAGTGACCTGCGGCTCAGGGCATTTGCGCTCATGTGGTATGTGCCCTCACCTTTTGGCTATCGGGTCACCCAATCTCTGATATTTTGAACTCTCTCAAAGGTCTTTTGGTATCTTCCCTATAAACTGAATAATAATGGACATAGATACAATGATGTCACCCATTTGGACTGCCGTTTTAAAGCCTCGAGTTCAGCATTTTGGCTGTCGCCATCTTGATTTTTGGAACCAGAAGTTACTGTATTCAGGCAAGGGGTGGATCTGACTCACAGGCAGTGATGTCACTCCACAGACAGCCTGTCACTCAATTGTCCACACCCTTAGATATGCAAACCTTTGGGCCTTGATAAGATATAAATGGGTGAGTTACAACAGAAATTCACCCCCTGTACAGTTGTCACAAATGTTGAAATTAACTATAGAGACCAAAAACTTTTTGTTATGTTTATTTCTGCTGTAAAGTTGAGCATTTTAACATGGGTGTCTATGGGGATTTACTCTGTTTTGGAGCCAGCCTCAAGTGGCCATTCAAGGAACTGCAGTTTTTGGCACTTTGGCATTGGCTTCATTTTTCAGCCTCGCAGGTTGCAGCTTGGTTTTCAATTTCCCCTTTAACATTGTTAAACTCGAGATGGACATTAAAAAAAAAAATCAAAATCACACTCTCTTCTTCCTTCTCATAACCTGAGCCTACATTACCCACAGTGCAATGTGTCTGCCACACTTTAGTTAGAGATTTAGGTGTGTTAGGCTAGTATGGCAGCTAATGTAGCCTCTAGCAGTAAGAGCTCTTCATTCGACATCCACACTGCCAGATTTTTGTCACATGTCTTGTAGCTCCAACTGACGCTGACTCAGGTGACATCACTTGATGCAAATCATCTGATTTCACACTGCACTCTCTGGAGCCAAGAAAAGCTTTATACAACTTTATTCACACACAAAGTAGCACTTCTCATTCACCTTTAATTAAGTTGCTTGGTGTGTTCCTTGTCTTCATGATGAAGGTTTTGTCCATTGAAGTAGAATAAATAGAAGGGACATTGAACAGTTTGCTGCGATCAAAAGAAAAATGCTGATTGTTTTTAGTTGCTATGGTGTCAACACATGTCAGTGTAAAACCATAAAACTGAATAATCATAAGTGAATAATTTTTACAGTTGTTGAAATACTCCCACAGTTAGATAGAGTACCACTTGGTGTTCAACTCTGTTGTCCGCTGCCATTTAAACAGCAGAATCCAAACAGCGCCTTCTTCACTCTCTCATGTTTCATCCTCCCTTTGAAGAACGTAGTTAGAAGTGTTGAAGAGTGTTTGAAGCTGCGGGCTGTGCTGAGGAGGTTCAGTTAGCACACATCTTAGATTCCGAGGCTAACAGGACACCCAATATGCTTTCTTAAAGCTGATAATTAATTTTAGTTTGTAGAGGGAAGGCTGATCTGAAGAGCAGCATCCAAGACGCCAACAAAGGAAATGAAAATGGTTCCTCTGTGCTGCTGAAGGTCAACAAAACAAGATGTTGCCCACTTTATTCATAAATTATATTTACAGCAGAGTGCAGTATATTATAAAAGAGCCGGGCTTTGATTGATGATGATTGATATCCATCCCCCAAAGCACCTTGACGAAGGTAGTGGGCCGGAATATCGTGTGTGCATTAAAAGTTGATCCGTTGACTGTGCTCTTTTTAAATTAATTATTTGTCTGTATTTTAACAGCCTCTTTTTCTGTTGCTTCAAAGTTAAGTTCACTGTGTTGGATGAGCCTGTGTATTTGTTACTACTGTCATATTGGACATAGGGGCTAATGGGGGCACCCACTAGCTCACCTGGTAGAGCAGGCACCCTGTGCACAAAGGCTTTGTCCTTGCTGCAGGTTTGATTCTAAGCGACGGTCATTTGCTGCATGTCATCCACTCTCTCTGCTCCCCTCAATTAAAGGCAAAAAGCCCTAAAATATCTTTAAAAAAGAATAGACCAGGATAAAAGTTTATTCTTTTCGTGTCATAAAGGCAGGTGCACTGCTGAGCTGTATCACTATTAGAACAAATTATTAAACAAGACTAACAGTTCACAGCCTGTAAGCTAAATGCCAACATCAGCATGCTAACATGCTTGAAATGGCAACATTAACATGCAGAAATTTAGCAGGTTAAATGTTCACCATCTTAGTTTGACTAAACACAAAGTACAGCTGAGCTAAAACCACAGTTATTGCTGTTCATCTGGAGGGTATGATGAATGTGTTTGCCAGGTCTCATGGTAATCTATCGAATAGCTGTTGAGACTTTTTGAGGTTTACTATGCAGGATTGTCGGCTACTGTTTGTGAAATGCTCACCAGCAAAAGTGAAAGTATAAAGCCACCAGAAATTATCTACAGAAAAATGCACCCCCACACACCTCCAGTGGGTCATAAGTGATGATTGAGTGGAATTACTTCTGTATGAGTCTATAACAATGTTTTTTGGGAGGATCCTGCATTGTATACTTTTTAAACCACAAATGTGAACCTGCTGGTGGAGCTATAGGGAGATTAATAGACCCACAAAAATCAGTAGGGTTCATCCTCTGGACATCATGAATATCTGTACAAACTCTCTTGGCAATCCATCAAATATTGGTTGACTTTTTAAAGTCTGGACTAAAGTGATGGACTGAACGAACTGTCTGCTCTGCAGGTGTAACAGGACTACCCATTAAAACTATTGTTTTGTCCCCTTTTTATTTCTACAGCAAGATGTGGAGAAGTTCTCAGACATCGAAAAACTCTACCTCTACCTTAAGTTGCCTTCTGGTCCAAGCAGCAGCACTGATAAAAGGTAAGAATACACCTGCTGTCTGACTGTATGTATGATAATAAAGGAAAGCCGATGAAGTATTTACGAGACAGGAGACAAGTAATCATTGAGAGTGGCTTTTCTGTTTATTATTCTCTTAAAAAGTTTTATTATGTGAATGATTCAGAATGGTAAAATAACAATGAACCTGGTGTCGCTCTTTTGCTTTGTCATTTGTGAATCAATCAATCAATCAATCATCCACATCTTTCTCAGTGACCAGAGCGCCCTGTCATCAAGCCGCACACAGCAGATGCATGCGTTCAACTGGATCCACCATCATTTAGAAGAATACCCAGAGACGTCTCTTCCCAAACAGGAGGTCTATGATGAATACAAGTAGGTACAAACAGACAGTGGAGCCTTAACATTAAACACTTAAGAATATAAGTCACTGACTCACTTATAACTCACTTTACTTCACTGTGTATTTGAACGTGTATCATTGGTGGTCACCTTTTGAATAGATAACAGCTACTAATGTTCGAGATTCTTTCTCCTCTAAATTACTGGCGGCTGAAGCGACAGTATAAATAGCCGCAGCAGGCATGGGAATCACAGAGAGCAGCATGTGTTGGTAATATTAGAATGGAAAGTCTGAGACAGCCATTGAAATGCTCTGGCAGTGTTATGTAACTGTCTTTTTAACTCTACTAGATCAGAAATACAGTGCCCTCCAGAAATATTGGCGCCTTTAGGATAGACAGGTGAAAAGGCTTTAAAGAGACACTATGTGCTCGTGTTGAAACGCAATAAAAGCATTTTGTTTTGTACAGTGAAACAACAAACAGCAACACACAGAAGTCTTTCTTAGGAGAAATGTTTCATTTGCATTCATTAGCTGATATGCACATATTTTCCCAGGCTCTTGATTAAATTAAAAACATCCAGCTTTTGGGTTTAAACAGCAAAGAAGACATTTAAAGGTGACGCTGTGAAGGATTTACTGGCATCTAGCAGTGAGGATTGCAGATTGCAACAACCTGAAACTTCTCCCATGTGCCAAGTGCAATTTCCCAGTTAGGATTCCTTCAGTGTTCATTGTTCAGGAGGTTTTAAGCGGGAGCCAAATTATCCACAGAGGTCTCTCCAAAACAAACAGACCAGGTTCCACTCATTGCAGAGGGGCTGCTAACTACGATGACAGACACAAAAACTTGAATGGCCCTATCTCTGAGCCAGTGTTGGATTTGTCTGTTCTGGGCTACTGTAAAAAAGAGGCAGTGCAACATTGCAGACGCTGTAAAAGAGGACCCGCTCCCTTTGTAGATATAAATGGCTCATTCTAAGGTTACAAAGACACGATGATTCTTATTTTCAGGTGATTATACACTTAAGAAATCATACTTATTATGCTACATTCAATTTCTGCCAATATATCCCCCTAAGTCCTACACACTGGACCTTTAAAGATTATCAGGACTTCAGTTAACTCTGCAGTCAATGGACTACATGTATGATACACACATACATGTATCGGTATGGTACTGTATAACTATATATAAGTAATAAGGGACCTTTATGTTAAATGGGAATGGGGGTAAAGCAGAATCAACCACAGTTCTGAGAATATCAGAACTGGACATCACTTTGAGTTTAGTCTGCGTGGTTCTCATTTTACTAATGTGGCTAACTGAGTCACTATTATAACTCTTCTGATGCAGCTCTACACACTTAACTTATGCAGTACTTTAAAACCTGGGAAACCAGGGAAACACACTTCCTTTGTGCCGTGAGTCCAGCCTGCTTTTTCCCATGAGATCAGATCGTACCCGGTGACAGACAGAATTGCTTAGTGAAAGTTAGGTTTAGGGAACCAACCATAAATGCTGATGGTGTCATTATACTCCAGCCATTACATTGTGCAATCAATCAAAATTTACTTTGTAATAATAAACTGGAGCAAAAAATGTGTCTATTTGCTCTTTAAGTTTTAAAATAGAAAAAGAGTTTTAACTTTTTAGACTTTAATCACCTCACATTCACAGGTATGTAAACATGAGAACAAGGCTCAGAAAATCATCTGCTGCGTCAACAGGATTGTAATTTATGATTCAAGGTCATGTTGTCGCAATATTGATTTATGGACACGTATTGATTCTGAACATCTGAAACAATCATTTTCCCCAGTATCAATACTATCGATACTGTCTCACTATCTCTTCTTTCCAACAGCAAGTTGACACAAACACACCGCTGCAGCACCCCGCCTCCTCTCATTCACTCACAGTGCTGACTTCTCATCATTCCTCTCATGCTGTCCAGTTATATAGCGGCGTTCGCAGCACAATTTTTTTTTTTTACTTGCACTTTATTGTATTTAAAATGTGTGACAGTCTCAGAGGCTTTTGGACTACTGCAAAAATATTGTTTTAATTAATGTAAAGAAGTGTTTGTTTTTAATGTTTACTACAGTCCAGTTGTTGTTGTCATGTTAGAGCCTTGTTATATATTTATCTTTTATTAAAAAATTTCACATTGCATGCCCTCAATGGCAATTTTTCGATGGTATCTATTATCAGTAATTTTTTAGGCATTGTACTGAGGTACAGGTGATGGTTTAGTTCAAAGCTGACATGGATTGTTTTGTGAATCATATTTTCTTAATTACATTTATTCCTGTCTTTTGTGTCTTCCAGGAGCTTCTGTGACAACCTAAACTACCACCCACTGAGTGCTGCCGACTTTGGAAAAATGATGAAAAATGTCTTCCCGAACATGAAGGCGCGTCGGCTTGGCATGAGAGGAAAATCAAAATATCCTTGACTGGAATGGATTGTAACAGTCTGGCCTCTGTCTCTGGTCACAGACCATCTGCTGTCGCAGTTCATAAGCTCTCTAAATATAGATGTGAAATAAAATAAAGTCCCCCTCTGCCTCGGAAGCAGAAGCATAATACAGAGCCCCTCGAGGGAGTTACCGTGATCTTGACCTTCATGACGCAATTGCGATTTTTTTCTGTTTTACAGACGACCTCAAATTGCAAAACTTGATTTATACTCATGACCTTCAGTCACTCAGGTTAATGGAATTAAGTATGTGTAAGGTGAGATCACAAGTCATTAATTTAATGGGTTTGGATGTGGAAAAACTTTTGGCTGATGAAGGGAGTTTGCTTTAAGCTCATGTTAGCGAACAGCTAGTGTCCAAGGATTTCTTTTTCGGTAATAATATGTTTCCACTATAAGCACCAATTAAAATAATCTGTAAAAGAACAGGCTCTATATGAACACCGTTAAACACATTTTAAGAGTAGTAGTATCAGAGTAGTTTAAGTCAAAAAAGTGACATTAGTCTAAACCCTTGAAGTTCAAGTTTGTTTATTGTAATTTTCAGAAATATATTTTGTTAATCCAACAGGCCTCGCAAAGGAAATTAATTAATTTCTAAAATCTTAATCATACATTGATCTGACAAATGAAAATTACAGTTTTGAAAACTTGCATTTATTTTCCATAATAGATAGTTCACTGTATATTGCCAGTGTATTTTTACTCTCTGGAATCATGTGTTTTGGTCTTAACATCAGTGTACATACTGCTACAGTGGGCTGAGGAAGAGGCCCTTTGTTCACATGCCATCTTTACCCACTCTGGATCTCCATAAATCAGGGGATGGAGTAAGCACATTTACATTTTCCCTATGAATATTTCACAGTTTCTGTCACTGTCCTGTCATGCAGCGTGCCACACACATACATATATATAACCATATATCTATATATATATGTTGTGTGTAGCTCCAGTGTGATGTCCTGGAGTCACCGGGCCAGCTGAGCAGCATAAAGGAAGACGTGCGATTTGCAGCCTGTGATCTGGTGTGTGAGTGGGCCCAAAAGGTGCTGAAACGCCAGTTCGATACCGTGGAAGACCTGGCTCGCTTCCTAATCGACAGCCATTACATCAGCAACAAGTCTCTGGCAGCTCTCACCATAATGACCGGCACAACAACAGGTCAGACACAGTGAACTTCGGCTTTATGCCCCCTGTTGAAAAACTGGTCAACAGTGGCATCTGGTGGCAACTGCCTGTTATTGCCCCTCTACTCCAGTCTGCTTGGTTTTTATTTGTTTGTTTATTTTTTTATGAGGACAGCTGTATTTTTAAATTATATGACACTTTTACAGCTTTATTGAAGCAGTCTGGTCAAACACATACATATAAAACAGTGTTATTCCTGGAACCAGTCTTCATCTTTTAAAACCTCTAGTTAATGTTTAAAAAAGGCTTCAGTGTAAGAGAATCAACAAGTGCTCGCACATTTAAGAAACAAATGCATTTGCACCTAAATCAGATGTTGAGACTGAATTTTATTTACAGATATGAATGTTCCTGTTTGGTGTTACAGCCGGGCATATTCTTGTGATTATTAGTTCTCATCTAGGGTTCCTATGGATCCTTAAAAAGTCTTGAAAGGCATTAAATTCATGAATCTAAAAGTAAGGCTTGAATTGGCATTAAATTAGTCTTAAATCAATCTTCTGAAAGACAAAGGAAGTAGTATGTCCTGTTTTGTTTTCTGATGTTGCTTTGTAAAATCTCAAAATAACTGACAACATCCATTTTTCTTAAATAATTTACAGAATGCTTCTCGCATTAACGTCACAAAGATCAGTATGGTAGAACCAACACAACCAATGCTTGTTTGTCGCACCCTTTTTCTTTGTTTCTTATATGTGGTCATTTGAAATAACTATTGATATGACAAACAAGTGTGCATTGTCATTAATTTGATAGTGTTGTATCAGGATCAGCTGAGTTTTTAATCTATTTTTTTTTTTTTTAATCTACTTTACTTTTGAACATTGTGTTCATTATTGTATAAATGTTTAACTTGGACATTTTTAAATGTGTGGACCCTCAGTTAAAGCCACTGCAGAAGCTAGGGAATCAAGTTAAAAAAAAAAAAAAAAAAAGTGAAGTGAAGGTGTTGTTTGATGAAGTATTATCTTAGTATTATTGTCTTATACATTTATATATTCATATAGTATGATGAGGTTATTATTTTATACTACTAACAGTAGCATGTAGGGTGTCTGCAGATCCTTAAAACGTCTTAAAATGTCTTAAATTCATTTTTTTTAAATATCAAGCCTTAAAAGTCAGTCAAATTGAGTCAAGCTTGAGCATGAAATTCAAAATTTCTGTTGTTACAAATCTTTAAACATACCACTAAACCTAATACTTTACTTTATACTTATCTATTGCAGCAGCAAGTGTAGATTAACCTAACTCACCCCAGTAACCATATTTCTATATAAAAGCTACCAGTGCACGAGACCACAAATGTATACAACTTACTTTTGTACTTACCTGCAGTGCTTGAATAAGAAAAAGACAATAACCCCAAAAATCTGTCTTTAATTTGGTTAAAAAATGATCCTGGAAAAGGTCTTAAAAAGCATTAAATTTAAGTGTCTGATACCTGTAACCACACTGGTAGCATGTATCCAATTTCCCTTGTTTTCTTTTTATAGAGGTCAAGCCTCCACAGACGGTCTCAGCGTTCATCCCCACAACTGAGGCGCACTCCTTCCAGCCTCAGGTGACAACCCTGTCCTCTCCGTCTGTCGATGCAAAGCAGCAGCTCCAGAGGAAGATCCAGAGGAAGCAGCAGGAACAGAAGATGCACTCTCCTTCACCTGGAGAGGCACAAACCAAGAGGGCAGATGACAGTGTGCCTTGTGCCAGCCCCGCCCCTCCGTCACCTCAGCCAACCATAGGCATCATGGTCGCTGCTGTCCCGAGCCCCATCACGGTGAGAAAGCACAACTCAATGCACAGACGTATGGAAAAAATAAAATATAGAGTCATTGGAAATTTGTCTTAAAATGGTAAAATCTGGTGAACACAGTTTGTGTCCAAAATCCTCAGTTTTTTTAGTCTGCCTACACAGTGAATTAATTAATTAGTAAAGACGAGTGCTGTCTGACCGCACGGGATTCCTTCGATGTTAAATCAGAGAGTGCTCAGGCTGGGTCAGGATCAAATTGGGTTTTAAATATCTCACTAAAAGCTTAAAGATATTAATCCAGAAGGTGGAGAGATTCGGACATAACCAGAACATATGCATTAAGTCTGCTGACTGGCCTCTCCATCGAGGGCATAACGGCTCAACATTCACACAAATCTTTGCCAGTCAGCATGAGTAAAATGAGCTCTGTGTAACACCTTCAGTTGTATTAGCTATGTTTAGTGGACATGTACAACTACTTCGAGACCAGAGTCCAAGGCCATTTTTAAATTATCACAGCAGTGTGGCTTACTGCTTAGAAACTTTGATGTAGTTTAAATCTCAGATTTTTTCCAAGTTAGTTGCATCCTATATGTGTAGTACCTGTCATATGACGAGGATGATATTCCTAAGTAGCCATGCCTGTCTTGAAAATAATACATGGCCCGCCTCGCTGATGGCCTGTTGACAGTTTTATGAGCCTGACACTAAAAGGCTTTAGTTTCACAGTTTTATTTATGGCAACAAATCTGCGTAACAGCAAACAGTACGCTCCACGTAGGTAATGAGAGTTCAAGTTAGATGCAACTCTTGGGATTATCATCTAGACTTCAGTTGTTCCACTTTCTGACTGAGTTTTGCTCTCCGCAGGTTCAGAGAAGCCGGCAGCTGATGTCCCCCAGTCCAATGGGAACAGTAGAGAGCAAAATGCTGCCCATCAACTTCCAAATGTTGACCCAGCCAGTTCAGGCAGTGAAACAGAGCCCCAAGACCCCGCAAAATATCCTAGCCAGCCCTCTGGGGGAACGCACTGCTCGGCAGCGTTATGCGCAAATCCTGCCCAAGCCTGCGGCCACCACTTCTATCACTTTGCGCTCGCCCTCCACCATGATCATCGGCAACAGCCCTGTTAAGACCATGATGACTACATGTCACGTCAGCCCGGTCAGTTTGGTCAAGATGACAGCCATATCGCTTGCACCCAACAGCAGCAATACCACCACTTCCCTCTCAAACACCACTCTGCGGCCGGCATCTGCAGGCAATAGTAGCTCTGCAGGTGCAGAAGACATCAGCTCTTGTCAAAGCACGAGGAGTACCTCTGCAGTCCCCATTCTGGCCCCGGTGGTCAGACCCAGCGACACTACTAACACTCATACCATCGATGTTGAAATGGAAGTTGAAGCTATACATAAAAACAGCCAAATGCAAAATCCTGGTGGTCAAGTATTGACTCAAGAAGCAATGGCAAATAGGGCTGGAGGGGCTTCACAGAGGGCTGCCAGTGTGCCCATACCCCAGTCTAAAGGCTTCCTGGGTCTGGAGGACACATCCAGCACTGACTGCAACGAGAAGTCCTCCTTAAGCACTAACACTGTGGCAGCAGTCGACGGCAGCAATAATGGCGTTAATAACACCAGCACTTTGCACTTAACTCCCTCAACTCAGAATACCAGCGCTGCGTCTTTACTGAACACCAGCAGACCACCTTCGTTTGGGGAAAGCAGCAATGCAACATCAGCAAAAGAAGGTTTCTTATCCACTAAGGGCCTCAGGAAACGTTCAGGCCTCAGCCCTGACCTTTCTCCAGTCAAAAGGGTTTTTATGCCCCAGCAGCCAGAGCTAGAGGGCGCTGCTTGTCTTGGATATGGGATTAGAAATGTGACCGGTAACATCCTCAGGCCAGGACCTCCAACTAGGCCTGAGAGCGCACCTGCTACCAGAGAGGTAGAGACGAAAATGAACTCTGTCCCATCCAGTCAAGTACACGCACTCTGCACTTCCTCTTTCAGAGCCAGTGGCTTTTACTCTGTTGCCAAAACACAGAGCTCAATGCAGAGGAAAAACACTCCCACTGTTATGGAAACTAGCACCTCAGTCAGTCACGCATTAATACAGCAACAGTCGGGGCATACAGTGGCCAACGTGCATGCCATACCTAATAACCCTGGTCTCCAAACACAGTCAGGTGTGAGTGATGTTAACAGTTCAGCCACAGGGAGCATGGAAGGAGCTCAACAACACACTTACGCTCAGGCCAACCCTGCTGACTGTTTGCATCAAGGTTCATCGTCAAGCCAGCTTCCTATGCAGACAGATATGGACTACTTTCCCTTTGATGATGATGTGACTCAGGACAGCATTGTGGAGGAGCTGGTGCAGATGGAGGAGCAGATGAAACTTAACAACCTGCAGGAGTTTAGAGACTGTGTCACGCTGCAGGGCCAACAGGCTGTGATGCAGGACAACACAATGTCTACCAATCAAACCATGACTGCTTTCTATCATTCTGCTAACAGCCGCAGCAACCCCATCCAAACTCCAACACCCACACCCACACCCACGTCAGAAATGATGGGAGGAGCCCAAGGCCTCACCGGAGAAAGCCCCTTCTCCCGCATCGCCTCCACAACCCCAGTGGACAGCGCACTGGGAAGCAGCCGTCACACCCCAGTAGGTACTCCACACTCCAACTGCAGCAGCACTGTGCCTCCCAGCCCAGTGGAGTGCAGGAACCCGTTTGCATTCACACCCATCAACTCCAGCATCACTGGTTTCCATGAAGGCAGCACAGTCTCCAGCAGCCCTGTCAAGCCTATGCAGAGACCGATGGCCACCCACCCAGACAAGACCAGACTCGAGTGGATGAATAACAGTTACAACAGCAGCAGCGGGAGCTTAAACAAGTCAAACAGTGGAATGGGAATCCTCCCCAGCTACCAAGGCCTGATAGGTGACCAGTTTCAAAAACCTCATGCCTTCGCCGTCCCTCATGCACGGCACCATGACAGCCATTTCGGCCGCCTGACTCCCATCTCGCCGGTGCAGCAGCAGGTAGCCAACATGGCCAAGCAGGAGGGCTTTGCTGTGCCTGCCCCTCTGGACAACAAAGCCACCAGCTCACCTGCTACAACTTTTCGATGTCGCAGTGTGAGCCCAGCTGTGCATCAGAGGAACATGAGTGGAAACACAGGAAACCTTCCACATGTCCCTCGTTCAGTAGTATCCCCTTATAACTCTCCTGTGACGCCTGAGATGTTGAACATCTTTGCAAACAGCCAGACAAATCTTGGGGTGAGCAGCATGGCTCAGAGGAGCCATTCTGTGCCGCTTAACATCATGATGCAAACCGAGGTCCTGCCCACGCCGGGCCAACAATGCAACAGCAAAAACATCACCAATGTCCTTCTAAACAAGCTGGATGGAGACCATGACGATACAGTTCGGGGTCTGGGCATCAATAATTTACCCTCCAGCTACACTGCACGCATGAACCTCACTCAGCTCCTCGAGTCCGACCCCAACCTCACCTGCAGTGACAACCACCTCAGCCTGATGACCTCTGACTCCACCAGCACATGCAAGTTGCGGAGGCCCAATTACCTCATCGAAAATGCTATTAATGAACAAATGAGTCTCTCAGCAGGTGACAGCCGAGGAAAATCAGCCTCTGGAGAGCAGCGTCGACAACAGGCCCAGTCTATGTTGTTAACTTTGAGCTCACAGCAGCAGCAGCAGCAGCAGCATCAAGACGATCTACAGCAGCAGTTGGATTTCAGCAGCACTGTGAAAGACCTCCTGACAGACAGCAGCCTTACTGCTGGCAGTCATCTCATGGAGCAGGTGTCAGAGCTAACTACAGGCACGGCAGATTTCCCTTGTGAAATCAGAATGACATCGGAGCTCTCCAGCAGCATCAATGACCTTAACTCATTGGACACGGACCTTCTGTTTGACCCCAACCAGCAGCAAGGGCAATATCAAAATGCTGCTGTGGAGGAGGAGTTGGTGAATGATGCGCTGTTTCAGCAAATCACCAGCGAGGCGACGCATTCAAGTGGACTTGACTGGCTCGAGAGCAAAGATCATCCCACTGTCGGGCTGATGGGTTGATGGGTTGAGCTTTAACATGTTGAACATGTTAACCTGTGTTCGCTGTTTGTTTTATTTATTTTTAGGCATTTACACTTTATGATGCAACACTGGACATGTTGAGGTTTGTCCAGTTTAAGTGCCAGGCTGAACTGCAACGATGCTGCAACACTCTGATTAAAATGCTGGTCATTTCTCTTTATTCAGAGGACATCGCCTCATGTTGTTTGATCAAGAGCATTTCCAACAAGTAAACAGAAGTTACTGTACAAAAAAAACTGTTTTTAATGATGTGTGTCATGTTTCACTGAACAGTCAGTGAAGAAATCATAACAGAATCATGCATTTCTTAGTGTAAAGGAAGTGGAAATGAATGAAACAAGATTAGCATTAACAAGCCTTTTCCAAGTATTTCTATATATCATGGTGTCTAAATCTATGAAGTGCAGGCATTATCTAACTAAAGCATAAGGTACAGGATGACTGAATATACTTACTGCTGAACTAATAACATGTCATAATTGAAGCCTATTTGTGTGATGAAATGAAAAAAAAATTTGAAGTATCTCAGACACCTTGCATTTTCTTTAGCTGAAAAAGATACTAACAAGATAACAAATGTGCACTCTGTTTATAGAAAAATAATTCAATGACAGAAACACAGAACCAAATTCATCCATCTAATATATTTTATGATCTGCTAGAATGGAGCATATAACAGGATGTGTATGAATTTAAGATAAGAAATGTACTTGCTAATCATATAATCATAATCGCAGTAGTGTTAACTCCTTTACTAATGGTTGACTTGGATGGAATACATAAAGAATATCTGTTAATATTTAAGTCAGTGTTTCTGAAATGGGGGTACGTGTACACCTAGGGGTACTTTGGAGAACTGCAAGGGAATGTGAAATATTTAAAAAATGTTATGCTGCATTCATGTGCTCCTCAGATGGTCCCATTTCCAGAGTAAAGAAGTTGTTCTTCTGACTTTGGTGTGTTCATGAGCTTTAAGTCGTAATGTGGAAACAACATGAACACTACAAAGATGATGTGTTGTACTTCATTGCTCAGAGCCTTTAAAAAACATGTTGATAACAGTTTGAAGCTTTATATTACAAAGTGATGCTGTCCCTGACTGGTTGCTGCACCAGTTATACCAGTTATTATAATATTGCTTTACCTGACTAATGCTTATTAGTAACTTTTCTAACTAATTTAGGTCACTCTACGTGGACAGTTACTAACAGTTACAGCCTAATACCACATTACAAATTACATGTGACAAGTTACAAAATTGACACACAATATGTGAATTGACAAAAAGTCTAATCGTCAACCAAATATTTTATCTGTCTGCCATGTTTCTGGATATATGACATCAACTCAGCAACTCATATACTAAAATCTTCACCAACTTTCTAAGTTGTTGTACTTGAGGGGGCGTACATGTGAATTTTCCCAGTCAAAAACTTTCCAATAATTCCCACATTACATGAACGCAGGGTTAATTTGAGCTGAGTCCATGCCACTGAGAATGACAAAGATCCTGACGCACAAGCCCGTGTCTCACAAAACTGAAAGTGCAAATTGATTTGCTATGAATTTAGTAGTAATGGATTCTTCACATTTTAAATGTAGTGTTTCAGTACTCTTCAGTTACAAGGTTGTAGTTTAGTAAATCAGACAATGATGTACCTCTTTATCTAGGCACGTCTTATACCAAAAATGTTTTGCACGGGTCAGAGGCTACTGAAAAAATTTTTTAAAGGGGCTACTCTACTGAAAAGAGTTGAGAACCACTGCTTTAAGTTTACCAAAACCATAAAAGAAGGTGATAAATGTCTACACTGTCAAATCATCTGGTTTTCATATTCACATTTTCAAGCTTTTATAAAAGGCCTTCCTGACAATCATCACAGACTTTGTGCCTCTCAGAATGAGCCAGTCAATTTAAAGATTTAAAGAGCCAAGTCAACCTCTCATCTCTCGATCATCACCAGAATCAAACATCTGCTCAATGTAGAGCTTTGAGAACTTGAAGATGATGATATCAGCACTAGATTGAGGCCTCTTTTGTACTTAATTTGTTTTTCAAGCCACATTTTATGAAAGTTTAAAACAATTAATATTCTTGCTCCAGTAAAGCCTTTTAGTTTACATGCACAGTATTTATTTGTCCATTGTTAAACCCACAGATATATTAAGAAAACAAGCAGTGAAAGATAAGACTACAACTCCTAACCATGTGTAGGTAAAAAGGGAAATTATTTATAACAGTAACCATTTATGTAAGAATTAAATAACCCTCATGAATGTGGGTTTTTGCACTTTTAAAGTATGATTCTTGTATGAAAGAAAAATTATGGGACATAACGCCATTATCCTTAGCACTCAGAAAATGCATTATCTGCATAGTGTGCACATTACTTCGAAGGTGAAGGTTCTTGTCTGAAAATGACAAAATGGACTAAGTGGATGAAATCGAGCAGAAATTAACACTTTATTTCTAAAGAACTGGAACGAGTCCGGTGCCTAATGTAGCACTCGTCATACTGCACTGACAATCTCTTGTGCTTCTTTACGTAAATGCACTGTGTTTGGTTTGGATGATGGTTGAACACTGCATGGCCTGAGGATTTCAATCAAAAAGTCTAACCGCTAATCACTGATCAAACTGTGGAAGTTTTGTTTTGCACTGATTATGAGCTGCGTGCAAAGACGTCAAGCAACCACACATGAGATAAGATTCACAGGGCTCCCTGAGGGGTTTGGTTTCTGAGCCTTATGTCTGAACCAAAGAGTAACTTTTAAATATAACCTGCAATAACATGCACAGAGCTCATGGGTGATATACTGAGATAACAGCCATAACTGATATATTCTGTAATGAGAAGGGTAAAATGGGAAACATTTGCAGCACTGGAAAACATGTCTTTATAAAAAACAATCTGTACAATGTGCGGGATTTCTTTGTTTACTGTTGTTGATGCTTTTGTAAACCCAACAGGTAAACAATCTCTTTCTGGAGGCAAAAACCACTGTAATTTATTGTGTTTCTGTGTATTAGCAGTAGATCTGTGAGTGTGTTGGTACTGTTGGTCACACTGACTGTATTGTGGTACAGACAGGAGGTGTGCCCGTCGATCTGTGTGCTTTTGTTGTCACTATTTATTTAGAGTGTGATGTTTGTACAGAACCTTGCAAACCATATAATCTTGTGAACTCACAATAATATGACTTGCACCGTTATGATGTTTTGTAGCATATGTTTTTAACATAACATATTACCACCAGGTATCATATACAGTGTTTTGTTTGTTTTTGTTTTGTTTTTTTAGTCCACTGTGATGAATGATGAAAAAATTTACCAAAACTCTCAGATTCAAAACCTGTCAGAACTGGATTTGGGCAGAAAATTATCCCGTAAAATGTTTGCACACTTTTTAAAATGTGGAAATGAGGCTATCCATAATTATATGGTAAAATATTAACATCCTGATCGACTGCAAACGCAACACGTTGAATCTGTGTCAGTTGTTTTATACATGTTAGCAAATCTTTAATTTCTGTTAAAGATTACATCATTGTAATATATGATCTCATTTAAAGTCTAATTTGATTTTGAGCAAGTTAGACAGACTTTTCTTTTTTATGTTTTAGTTTCTCTTTACTTTGTCTGTGAAAACAAACAAAACATTTATTTGGTTAGCACTGATGTTTGTGTTTTAAGAAGACGTGACCCTTCCTCTTGTTCAAAGTGGTTCAGAGCTGTAGAACTGCCATCTACTGTTTCGTTGCTGTGGTCAGTGTACTGGGAATTTTCTTTTTTTTTTTGCAATTTAGCAAGAGCTTTTATAAGGGGAAGTGCTTGTTGATACTGGTTTATAAAGACTTTTTAGAACTAATAAACATTTTTAAGTACATCGGTACACTGGAGTGAGTGTTTCTTTAATGCAGTATCTGCAAAGGTGAGGTGGAAAAGAGACTGTGGAGCTGCCTGTAAAGGGAACCATAGGTGTAGATTTCATGTCCCCCTTAATATTTAGAGCATGCACATTTGGCCCCCCTCCAAAACAATATGCAAATAGTGGAGGACTTTTATTTTGACAAAATTAGAGATATTCATTAATTTATTTTCCATAACTGCTTATTCTGTTGGGTGTCACGGGGGGCTGGAGCCCATCCCAGCTGACACTGGCCGAGAGGCGGGGTACACCCTGGACAGGTCACCAGACTATGACAGGGCTGACACCATAGAGACAGACAACCATTCACACTCACATTCACACCTATGGGCAATTTAGAGTCACCAATTAACCTGCATTTCTTTGAACTGTTGGAGGAAGCCTGAGTACCTGGAGAAAACCCACGCAGACACAGGGAGAACATGCAAACTTTGCACAGCAGGGCTCTCACACCCTGGGTTAGAACACCCCACCCTGGGCTCTCTTGCTGTGAGGTGACAGTGCTAACCACTGCATCACCGTGCCACCGAGATATTTCTATATCAAATTGATGCAGAAAAGACAGAAGCTGATGCATAAAAATTTCCTAAAATGTAGGAGTATTTGGCCCTCAAAATATCCTGAGGGAGGACCCCAAACACCCTGTTTCATACGTGCCCCCCCCCCCAATGTTGAAACGTGACCTACGCCTCTGCAGGGAGCACATGCTTCACCTTTGAAATTTCACACAAAACGCCACCTCAGTGAGTAGAAGTCTTGTTTGCAATAGACTACAACATTTAATGAGGGGAAAAGCACACTTAATTTTGTATGCACTGATATTTCTGAGTGTTTGCCTTGTACTTTGTACAAAACCTCTTCCCTATTCATTCATTCACTTACACACTACACTTCTTCAAGAAGCTCTGTTATCCAGAAACGTTTACACTGTACAGCTGGTCCTTGTTTTAACCACCGCTCCTCTGGACTTATATTGTTGTCCTTTGAGCAAAGATGTCCGTAACTGAATTAAACTTTAAATTCCTGCTCAGTGAGCCACTTTCACTCCTCTCTGACCTTTATCATGCAGTTTGTTGGTTCATTCCTCCCTTCCCCCAGCTCACAGGCATGTCTAATTATCTCCTCTCACTCTCCACCTTATTCTTCTGTCAGGATTGGAAAGGGCTGTTCTGTCCTTTTTCTTTGCGATTTCAGTATATAATATAATGTAGATAGTGTGCTTCTTTCCGCTCAAATCTCAGTTTAATGCTTTGTAAACTCAATTTACTCCATAAAAAGTTTACTGTAGTAGTTTGTAGGGAATAGTGTAACAGAAATGGGGTGGATGCTGCATTTCTTTTCCCATGGTAGGATTTTTTATGGCATTATATTGAGCATAATTTTCCCACTGAGAATTTCGGCACTCAAGTTAAAATGTGTAAAATAAAAAATAATGCACTGAGTAACAAGCAATTTGGACATGGCATCAGTGTTCTGTTCTCTGCTCACAAATATATTTTAGACTAGTCTGTAGTGTTCGGTCCATCTTAATTATGCTCTTAAGTTAGTCTAATGTAAGGTAGCAGTGTCACAAAAATACAGACTGATTTATTAAAAGCC